GTGGTGGTATGGGGTGAGTTGTGTTGTGGGAGCGCGGCACGTGTGGGTGGTTGGCGGGTGAGCGGGTAGTTGCATACGATAACGCACGTCGCTGCTGGTAAACAGCACACCCGCAGTCACTCCCGGGAACAGAGCAGCCAACACTCCCGCACCACTTGTAAGCGTTCCAGGCAATCACTGCAGCATGTCGACAAGCCAGGAGAGCCATCCCTAGCAGCACACACCCCAGTGGTACAGTCACGGACCGCTCACCGGTAGTATTCGTCGGCGATTCCCCTGCCCTGCGGGGCGGCCAGGGGCGCCCCGCCGCGGGTGCGCTTGCCGCTGGTCTTCGGGGCGTCGGGGGGGCGGGGCGGGGGGTCGCCGGGCCGGGGAGGCCCTCTCGCCCGCCGCAGGGTGACAGTGACGCTGTAGCCATTCGTCCTCCAGTGCCCAGCAGAGTGCCATCCGCAGCCCTGAAGCGCCGAAAGTTGAACAGGAGAGCGAAGAAGGCCCAGCCGATGTGGACAAACCAGTCCGTCTTCTTCTCCTCTCTGTCGCCCGTCTTGTCCTCCTCCTCCATCTCGCCCGTCTTCTTCTTCCCCCGCTTCCCCTCTGCGTCCACCTGGTACTCCTCCGCCTTTCTACGGAGGCAGGCCTCGATGGCCTGTTTCTTCCTGGCGGGGATACCATGAACCTCCTCGAGATTGAGGAATTTCATAGCCTGGGATTGGCAAGATGCGGGTGGGGCGGGTGTGAGCGACGAGGAGTCGGGGCCTCACACCTCTGCTGCACCACACGACCCCCAGACCCTGGGTCCACGGAGCATCGCGGGACGATCCTACAGTGTATTGCCCCCCCCCTCCCACCACGACTACAAAATAAAAGGAGTGGCCTGTGTTCGCGGTGTAGATCTGCAAGACACCTCTGCACCACCCATACCCCTCCCTCCGCAACATGCGGTGCTGATCCTCACCTCGGGCGCGGTATACATTCTCCACTCCTTCTCGGTGGGAAGCTGCAGCCCCGTCATCCTCGCCACGCCGCCCCTGTCTAACTTCTCATGCCGCCGCAAGAAGGCCCACAGCGTCGTCAGGGTGCCGGTGATGTGCACCGCCTCAAAGCCCTGTCTGCAGGGCAGGAGGCTGAACAGCCGCCCGATGTGCCGCAACGGCGGCGGCTTCTGGGGGCTCTGGGCGGGGCTGCCGGCGGCGTTCGCCGCGGCCTCCTTGCGCTTGGCCAGCGCCGCGCGCCGTTGCTTGCCCAAGCCCCGCCGCTTGCTGGGGATGCCGGCGTCCTTGTTGGCCGCGTGCTGCTTCGCACGCTCCTCAACCTTGCGCTTGAGCTCTGTGGCGGCGGCGGCTGACGCTGCAGTGTCACCGACCTGTGCATGTAGGTAGGATCTGGGGCTGGTGAATACATGTGTAGCTGTGCTACCCTTCTGTCAAACCCCTAGCCGCCCCCTCGAGGATGCAAGGAAGTAACCGTGTCAAACCAGCACAGATCTCCACACAGTCCTGCATTCCCGGTCGTCCCTCACCACTCACATCTGGGCAATTTGCGTCGTGCTGCGTCGCCTCCTCGCCCGCCTGCCCTTGTGGCGCATCCCCGGGAGTCTGCGCGGGAGCTGGCGCGGCCGGCTGTCGCCTTTCGCGCTCCGCGAGGAGTCGCCTGGCCAGCGGCAGGCAGAGGTGCGGATGATGTTTCCACAGACCCGACTTCGGCCTCTTCGGCATGCGCCGGCGGAGTTCGACGATCCAGTCCACCTGCTCCTGCGTGAATGGCACATGCCACCACGCAGCCGCCCTGCCCGAGGGTGGTGGTGGTGCTGCATCGCTGCCGGTGGTAGGGGCTGGGGGCGGCTGGTCGGGCGCGGCGGCCGGGGCTGGCGATGGCGCTGCGGAGACGCCGGGGCCCAGGACTGGGGTAGGCTGGATGGGAGTGGCGGCTGGGGATGGCGCTGCGGAGACGGTGGGGCCCAGGACTGAGGGTGGCTGGTTGGGCGCGGCGGCCGGGGCTGGCGCTGCGGAGACGCCGGGGCCCGGGGCTGGGGGGTCAAACCACTGCCAATGTTCATACACTCGCGCATTCCCGGTCGTCCCTCACCACTCACATCTGGGCAATTTGCGTCGTGCTGCGTCGCCTCCTCGCCCGCCTGCCCTTGTGGCGCGCTCTCTGGAGCCTGCGCGGGAGCTGGCGCGGCCGGCTGTCGCCTTTCGCGCTCCGCGAGGAGTCGCCTGGCCAGCGGCAGGCAGAGGTGCGGATGATGTTTCCACAGACCCGACTTCGGCCTCTTCGGCATGCGCCGGCGGAGTTCGACGATCCAGTCCACCTGCTCCTGCGTGAATGGCACATGCCACCACGCAGCCGCCCTGCCCGAGGGGGGTGGTGGTGCTGCATCGCTGCCGGTGGTAGGGGCTGGGGGCGGCTGGTCGGGCACGGCGGCCGGGGCTGGGGGGGGCACTGCGACGTTGCTGGCGGCTGGGGCTGGCAGCGGCTGGTCGGGCGCGGCGGCCGCGCCCGGCACCGCAGCTGCGTCGGCGCCAACCGCTGGGGCTGCGGGAGGCAGGGCGGGCGCGGCATCCGAGTCTTCTGTCGGCGCCAGAGGGTTTGCGAAGCTGACGGACAGCACTGCGCGGGCGCAGTGGTGTGGCCAATTTCCCTTTACCCCTAGCTCCAGCTTGGCCTTCTGCTGGAGATGGCGGAGGAGCTCCCTCTTATAGTAGGTGGCCGTCGCCGTAGCCAGGTCCCCCGCCGCTTCATGGATGAAGGGGCCGATGTACTCCATGTCGGGCGGCTGGAGGTCGACACCAGCCCGCTCGAGTGTCTGCTGGAAGCGGGCGACGGAGTCGGCCAGCGGTGAGAACGCCGCCTTCGCCCCAGTGCCTGCATTTCCGCCGGCTGCCTCGCGAGGTCGCCAAATGAGCGTCAGGCATCTGCGCCGTGGTTGTAATGGGTGGGTGGGTCGAAAGGGTGGCTGGTTATTCGGCACCTGCTCTGCGGCGCATGCCGCTGCACCCCATCTGTGGCAACGTGTTACAGACAGCTGCAAGCGTTCCTGATCCAACCAGCACACGCCACATGCAGACATGGGACCCTATCAAGCAAGGAAACCAGGCAACTGTCTGCCTACAAGATAAGCCCACCCACATCCCACCCCCAACACACAGGAGGCCCACCTGTAAAAAAAAGTCTTGTCAAGTGGTTGCAGTGCCGCATCCGCATCCGCCCGGCCAGCCTGCTTTCGCCGCTCAAACTCCTCCACCATACGGATGGCGTGGAAGTTGGCAAACAGGTAGCCGACGGTGCGCAACTCGGTGACGACGGCCACGACGTCGTCCACTGTCGGTCGAAGCGCATCCAACACGCACTGCTGCTGCTGCGCCTTCTTCTTCATCTCCTTCTTCTTCTTTTTCTTCTTCGTCTTCTTCTTCGGAAGATCCGGGAAGCCGTTCCAGGTCGTCTTGATGGAGGTTGTTGCGTAGTCATCCATCACCTACAGTTTGTGATAGCGCGGGCACAGGGTGTCGATAGGTGTGTGTGTCTGGGTGTCTCAATCAGTAGAGCCACGCATGCTTGGGGACACTCCAGTGGCCCCGGAGGCCCCCCTCCAAAGCGGCACACCAAGTCCTCACACACCTTCCCGAATCGGCCTAGCGTGCCCGCCTCGCCGGGCGCCGTCCGCCACTCGTTCACCGTGGCATCATTCTGCCACTGTTGATCCCTCTTCTCCGCATCGTCCAGCTTGTTGACCACGCCGAGTGGCACAGGGGGCGTCTGAGAGTCCTACGACACAGGGCGAGAAAACACGGGGTGGGATGTGTGTATTCGCCTATAAGTTGCAGATACCAACTTTAAGAATCACATCATCACTCCGACACCGCCATGCCTGTCGCACACCAATCAAATAAACCCAACTCAGTCCACCCAACACAATCACCTGGCCAGCGGATGCAAGAGGTCTCGAAGTCGAGGGGGCATCATCCGCCGCCACGACATCAACGTCCATTGGACAAGGGGTCTGTTGCGTGCAATGGCCTGGTTGCGCTGGCTCGCCGTTGTCACTGGGGTGCCGAAGTTTTGTGTGAGGGTGAGCAAGGTCCCATGACCTGCATCATCTCCTCTGCAGCTTCGAACCCATGCACATACCCAACTGCATGCATGCATGCCCGTCGACTCGACGACGCGCACCCCACGATCACAGCCATACCAAGGCTCCTCACCAGCCCAAGCAAGCGACTTCGCCACACCTCGGAGGAGGAGGGACAGAGGCGGCCAGTGCCGGCCGATTTTGATGTATGCGGTGTTGGCGCTCCCCGGGCCGTGATTCCCTTCCCGCTCAGTGCATCAGGCAGTCACGGCGCCGGATCGCAGCCTCGGCCGCGGGCACCCAGTCCCGAGGCTGCAGCCGGTTGCCCAGCTTGGGGAGCTGTCTCGACCTGGCCCCAGGCACCCTGTTGAAGGAGTGGATGCGAGGACAGTCTGTGAGTAGACCTCCATGTCATAGCACAGGGGGGGTGGCTGATGGTGCTAGCTGCGCGAGACACATCTGTACTGATGTCGACGCAACCCGGTCTACCCACTTCCATCCCATCCCAACTGCAAGATAAAAGTATCACACTCATGGCTGGCTGAGGCCGTCGCCCATGGCAGCCGGGGCACGAGGGTCGCTGTTGACTGGTGACCTAGGAGTCAAATGGGCCGGCCACCCCTGCCGAATGGAGTAAGAAGGGGTGTGGATGGTCTTCAACGAGAGAAAAATCCGGAAAATGCTCTCAACACGACGGGTAGCGCAAACCCTGAAGATGTCGACGCGGCCGGATCCCGTCCACCGAATTCCAGGGCAGCCCAACTCCGCGGTAGTCCTATATTACGACTTCCCAGCGATCTCCCGGACTCACCGAGGCATTACAGTCGGATGGCATTGCGTCGAAGTGGGATGTTCTGCGAGGGCGAGGCACTGAAAGGGTGTAGACGCGGGGCGTCGGTGTACCAGGGGTCGCCCTCGGGCCGGGAGAGGTAGCGATCACAGGGGCACTCTGCCCTCCGGTCTCAACGTACAAACGTCTTCACTCTGTCAATATGCAACGCAACCTACAGACTGTCGAGAGTAAGGCCGTTACAACGCACGTCGGTGGGTATTTATCGCCAGGGGAGCAGGCGTCCTTCGGTCCAAGCTTGGCACGCGAGCAGGTCACATCACATGGAGAATGGTGCTGTGGGAAGGCAAGCAAGAGATCCAAGACATAGGGTTGGAGTGGACTATGGAGCGATGGCCTATCGTGGAGGGGTGGACCGAGGACAGCTCGTGCGCGCCTTATGTGATCGAGCATGAAATTTTCGATACCGCGGGTTTAAGCTCGAAATTCTCCGGACTCTCACGATATCGAACATTATATCAACCATTTCCCGGAAATTTGCCCGATGGGTAGGACTGAGCATTGAACATCAGCCCGCGCTGTGTATGTACATATTTCTTGGGTCCGTCTGCTATAAGCGCTGTGCTTCTCCGCAGTCGCACTGGCGCCGCGACAAGGCCCATGACCCGGTGGATGGGGGATGTGTCGAGCAGGCTTGTTGACGAGCGGAAGATGGAAAACTTGCAGCTTCCGGTCTCGCAGCACTTCACAAACGCCCGCCTGGAGCAGGCATACCGGCAGTACATCGGCACCATCCAGCTCGGCAACGATGTGGCGATGACGCGACTTATGATGGTGCGACGAGTGGGAGTGGGGAAGGCAGCGCAGAGAGTCCAGAGGCCGTGTCGGCGGCGTGACAGCATCCTCATGCGGGACCCTCTCAGGCTTATCACGCCGTGGCAACCTACAAGACGCTGAAGGAGGCTCATGAAATGGACTGGATGACGATGTTGATGAGTGAGTCCAATGGGACCCATGGAGCCTGGAGTTGGGGAGGTGGGGCCTGTTGCTCCACCTCCCTGCAATTTTTGCTGCTGGCTGACAAGGTGCATGGGCAGCCCGACCCAGACCCTCCTGCATCCACCCCTCTTCTTGAACATCCTTCCAGTCTGCAACTTTGCTGTGCTGGGAGCTACCCTGCTGCTGCCCTCAGTCTGGCCGGGGGTGTGGCGGCGGTGGAGGAACGTCATCATGCCGCCCCTCCTCGTTTCGCACACGGTCGCCCTGCACATCTTCCTGTGAGATGGGTGGAGGCAGGGGAATAGAAGTGTGTAGAGCATGCCCAGGAACTCTGGACCCCACAAGGCATTGCTCGTCCCGCAGGTACACACACTCAACGAGCGAGAGCTTGCTGGGCAGAGGCACCCTCTCCCGACTCATTGACCAGTGTGCAGCGTGGGGCGGCGTGAAAAGGGTTGCATGCGTGGGTTGGTGGGCATACAGCGATGAGGCTGCAGCGCCGGAGGCCATGTACTCTGGGGCAAATCATCCTGCCCTCAGCGCACTAGCCGCAGCATCCTGCATGGAGGACTCATCTGCGCATATCTAAATCAGTGATAGACCCAGCCTGCAGCTCACCCTCTGCACCCCTTTACTCCTGGCAGGGGCACAGATGTGTTGGCGGTGCAGGCGCTGGTGCTCCAGAGGAGCCTCACCAGCAGGCTCATCCCGGCTCAGGCCATCGGTGGGTGCTCTCTGGGCCACGCCCGGGAGAGGTTTCATCGCTGCGCATTAGAGGGTCTGCATCCGTCCACTGGCACCCAAACCTTGGACGCGGGACCATCTTACCATTGCCCAGGGGTGCACACCTGGGCGCTTGTTGCAGGGGTCCACTTCCCAACCATTTCCCTGATGGCTCGCAGGGTACATGGTGTTGGCCTCGTACAACTGGCACCAGGGCCATGTGGAGGTGGGCGGCCTCCTGACCTCCAGGGAACATCGGTCTCATGATTGCATCTCCTGCCTCTGCATGTTCCCACACAGAGCGCACAGACTCTCCTAGTTCACTCAATCCATGCCCTCTCCACGCAATGTGCCCCCATGTCACAGACGCTGGCGCTCTACACGCTGCACACTGTGCTGGGTTTGATCTTACCCTGCATCATCGTCTGGCAAGCAGAGTACAAGGCTCGGTACTCCTTCCTGCGAGAGGTGTGTAGTCTTGGAGGCTATGGGGGCGGAGTCACCACCCAGCAAGGATGGCAGCCACGGGCTTTGTCACCAGAATGTGCTCTGGCGGTGTTGACCAGCTGTGCCTCACCCTGGCATGTATATCACGCACTGGCCCTCCGAATTTGGCAAAGACCTATGAGGCATGTCTGCACCCCCCCCACACACCCCCACCCCACCCTCGTGTTGACCTCTGCATCCCGCTGCTCTCATTCAGTGCTCCCATTCAACCTTTGCCTTCCGCGATCACCTTCACAGGCTGCCAAAGCGCGGCCGATCAGGCTGCCACCCCTCACACTCCTGGCACGGTTGAGCTGCCTGTGGCTGCTCCCTGTCTTCATGCTCGAGGGCCTCACAGGACCCATGTTCATCTGTCGTTCCATGCTGAAGACGGGGTACTCATGGTGGGCCATCTATTCGCTCATGCTGGCCTGGTCTGGAGCAGTCGTCTTGTATAACTCCTACTTCTACATCCTGGCCTGAGCACCACTTGGGAGGGCTCGCCGGTGATCGCTGCACGGCTCGCTCTTGCTCCTTTTCTCCTTTCGTCAACCTTACAGGCTCGTCATACGAACACAACCCCCCGGCTGCGCACGCTTGAGTGTTATGTCTTCCTTCTTCTCCCGCCCATGTGCACCCTCGTCTCAAACCCTACATCCCCTCACCCTTTTCCAAGTCTGGATCCGCCTACATGCCACATGTGTCCACCTGGGCATTTGCTGACACTCTGTGACACATCCAGTGAAAACCCTGGACATCAACCAACACGAAGTTCAAGGCCCTGACCATATTCTGCACAGGAGATGTTTCAGTATGGCAGGTCTCCGAAAAGTGCTTGATCCGGGGAAGACCGGCCGGAAGAACTGCGGAAAGCTCAGAATCCGAGGTCTCGAGCCTGAACTTTCGTGCTGACCTGGCGGTACCCCGCGGCGCCTGGGGCCACTGGCGCACGTTGAGGGCGGGATAAGCAAGTGCGGAAACAAACACTGCAACGGAGGCAGTGGTATTGCTCTCGTATCTGCTTGGGTTAGCGCTTACTCGAGGCCCACTCCAGGCATAGAGGATTCTCGAGGGGTCTTGCTCCGTAAGAGGTGCAACGCGACCCCAAACCTGTACAGAATACGGCCGTTAAAGCGTTACTTAGAGCTGTCTTCATTCAGATCTCCTAGGACAATAAATCTAGCTCGGGACTGGATCTAGGGGAGTGCTGTGCATGTGGGGCAACCCCCGGTTTCGCGGATTTCCGCCCCGGACACTTCAAATGCGTACAGCTCTCAAAACGGCAACGCGGAGTAGATATGCCGTTACACGGTGCCAAGATCCTATATATACGATCAAGCCGCACGGGAATTAAGTCAGATCTCGACCGCATCGTAGAGCGAAGGCTGCTTCCCCTCTGAACGCAGACAAAGATTATCCGCCGGACCGTGAGTTGGCCGCAAAATGCAAAATGCCGTCGATGGTCAGGATCCCAGCCATCCTGAGTGCACTAGTGCTGCTACTCGCCAGATGTGCTGTTGCGGTGAGCCTGGGAGCACTCGAAGCGATGACGACTCCGCGTCACCCATACCCTTCTTGCCCCTAATCAATACTTCCCCACCACATGCCGTCCTCGATAGGAGGTCAACTGCAGCTCCACATCCATCGCGCTACCCAGTGTCATGTGAGCCGAGTGATGTGTCCATCCGGGGAATGCGTGCAACTGTGGCGATATTCCCGATCCGTCGAGCTCCCTCTCGTCCAAGGCTTCGGCTGACGGATGTCCGTCCTCCCACACTCCAACGGGAATCCGCAAAGTCGCTCCGTTAAACGTGCGCTTGCACACTGATTTTCCGTGTATTTGAGGAGTATCTGCATTCCTTCGCGTAATTCATCTACCCGCATATGCACAATTCCTTGCAGCCTTGGACCCCATGTGCATCTTGTGACGGAGGACAGCGCAGATGCCGTTTGCATGTGAGCAACCCTCGTGAGGCTGCTGTGCAGGCACGTGTCGGCCGGAGGTCGCTGAGCTGGGCTACGTTCTTCACGATGGAGGCAATCCGACTTTTCACGCACACCCAGTCATGTGCCACTCAGTCCATGCACCACCCGCCTCCTTGGTATGCAGGCATGAAGGCTTCAGCGAGGCGGGGTCCGCCCGCACCTCCACCCTTCACGTCATGGGACTGTCGATGTCGGCGGTACGGGTGAGCACCTTGCAGATCCTGAGACCTAGATCCACCAAGATTATCGTGGCCGTGGAGTGCCTCAAGGTGGAACAGAAGGCTTGCTCGGCAGACAAGGATGGCAGCGTTGGATACCACAACAAGGGCAGGAACAACTTTGGCACGATGAATGATGGGGATGACAGTATCGGTGAGCAACGTGAGTTGGGCGAGAAGAATGCAGGCTGTGCACGATCGCGGCAATCCTGGTTGTTACAGGCTCAGAAATGAGTTCTTGCTGCCCTGGCAGGTAACTCAGACGTGGGCCACGCCAACTGGGGCAACAACAACATTGGCAAGGGCAATCGCTGCTTCAACAAGACTGGGAACCGGAAGGTCATTAACGACTGCAGCCTGCTTGAGTTCCGTAAGCATGCATGGGTCCTCGATTCCCCACTACCTCCCTCCAAAAAGGCCTGACACCCCCCGTCAGGACATCTTCACCCCCACCCATCAAGACATCTTCACCCTGACTCAGTAGGGAATCTCCAAACACGCCCTCCAAGGAATCCACACCCCTACCCTGAAGGCCATCTCTTCCCCCGCCCTCAGGCCCGAGCCTCCCTCGAGGTCTCGAGCCTGAACTTTCGTGCTGACCTGGCAGTACCCCGCGGCGCCTGGGGCCACTGGCGCACGTTGAGGGCGGGATAAGCAAGTGCGGAAACAAACACTGCAACGGAGGCAGTGGTATTGCTCTCGTATCTGCTTGGGTTAGCGCTTACTCGAAGCCCACTCCAGGCATCGAGGATCCTCGAGGGGGCTTGCTCCGTAAGAGGTGCAACGCGATCCCAAACCTGTACAGAATACGGCCGTTAAAGCGTTACTTTGAGTTGTATTCCTTCAGATCCCCTAGGACAATAAATCTAGCTCGGGACTAGATCAAGGGGAGTGCTGTGCATGTGGGGCAACCCCCGGTTTCGCGGATTTCCGCCCCGGACACTTCAAATGCGTACAGCTCTCAAAACGGCAACGCGGAGTAGATATGCCGTTACACGGTGCCAAGATCCTATATATACGATCAAGCCGCACGGGAATTGAGTCAGATCTCGACCGCATCGTAGAGCAAAGGCTGCTTCCCCTCTGAACGCAGACAAAGATTATCCGCCGGACCGTGAGTTGGCCGCAAAGTGCAAAATGCCGTCGATGGTCAGGATCCCAGCCATCCTGAGTGCACTAGTGCTGCTACTCGCCAGATGTGCTGTTGCGGTGAGCCTGGGAGCACTCGAAGGGATGACGACTCCGCGTCACCCATACCCTTCTTGCCCCTGAATCAATACTTCCCCACCACATACCGTCCTCGATAGGAGGTCAACTGCAGCTCCACATCCATCGCGCTACCCAGTGTCATGTGAGCCGAGTGATGTGTCCATCCGGTGAATGCGTGCAACTGTGGCGATATTCCCGATCCGTCGAGCTCCCTCTCGTCCAAGGCTTCGGCTGACGGATGTCCGTCCTCCCACACTCCAACGGGAATCCGCAAAGTTGCTCCGTTAATCGTGCGCTTGCACACTGATTTTCCGTGTATTTGAGGAGTATCTGCATTCCTTCGGGTAATTCATTTACCCGCATATGCACGATTCCTTGCAGCCTTGGACCCCATGTGCATTTTGTGACGGAGGACAGCGCAGATGCCGTTTGCATGTGAGCAACCCTCGTGAGGCTGCTGTGCAGGCACGTGTCGGCCGGAGGTCGCTGAGCTGGGCTAGGTTCTTCACAATGGAGGCAATCCGACTTTTCACGCACACCCAGTCATGTGCCACTCAGTCCATGCACCACCCGCCTCCTTGGTATGCAGGCATGAAGGCTTCAGCAAGGCGGGGCCCGCCCGCACCTCCACGCTTCACGTCATGGGACTGTCGATGTCGGCGGTACGGGTGAGCACCTTGCAGATCCTGAGACCTAGATCCACCAAGATTATCGTGGCCGTGGAGTGCCTCAAGGGGGGACAGAAGGCTTGCTCGGCAGACAAGGATGGCAGCGTTGGATACCACAACAAGGGCAGGAACAACTTTGGCACGATGAATGATGGCGATGACAATATCGGTGAGCATCGTGAGGTGGGCGAGAAGTATGCAGGCTGTGCACGATCGCGGCAATCCTGGTTGTTACAGGCTCAGAAATGAGTTCTTGCTGCCCTGGCAGGTAACTCAGACGTGGGCCACGCCAACTGGGGCAACAACAACATTGGCGTGGGCAATCGCTGCTTCAACAAGACTGGGAACCGGAAGGTCATCAGCGAATGCAGCCTGCTTGAGTTCCGTAAGTATGCATGGGTCCTCGATTCCCCACCACCTCCCTCCAAGAAGGCCTGACACCCCCCGTCAAGACATCGTCACCCCCACCCATCAAGACATCTTCACCCTGACTCGGTAGGGAATCTCCAAACACGCCCTCCAAGGAATCCACACCCCTACCCTGAAGGCCATCTCTTCCCCCGCCCTCAGGCCCGAGCCTCCCTCCCCTGCCTTGCCCCCCTTCCTCTGCCTAGCTCCCCACCTCCTCCACCCTCAAGCCCAAGCCCCT